GCTGTTACCTTCCCACCGAAGTGGTACCTATTTATCTACTTGCACTTTCTTGCTTTCGAACTGCAAGGTTGGCAGGAGCTGGAACTAGAGATGGGAGCTCACTCCGTCACGCGGCACACTCGGGTCTTGAACTGCTGAACTATCGACCTTCCACAGCCTGCAGCTCAGCGTCTTAACCACTTGAGCCACCGCTCAACCTTACTAGCAGTTACTATCTTACTAGCAGTTAAATCTCTGACAGGGAATCAGATGTCGTGGGTCAGGGCTTACCAGACTCTCAGCGAGTCCTGGAGATCTCCCGGAGTTGCAACTGATCTCCAGATGACAGAGATCAGGTTCCCGGAAGAAAATGACCACTGTGGAGTATGGACGTTTTGGTGTCATACCCTGCTGAGGTCCCTCCCCACTCCTGACTCTGCCCTCCCCAGGCTGCATCCCCAAATCTCCAGGAATTTTCCAACTTGGAGTTGATAACCCTAGGTGGGTCCCAAGGCTTAGGCAGGGGGTGGTCCTCTTGTTTTCCTGTGGAACTTACACTTTTTTGAAGCGTCTGCTCTCCTGAAGCATACAGAAGATTGGCGTACTTTATTTGGAAATTGTCTTTTGTTCAGTTGACAGTTGAGATTGGAAGATTCGCCATCTTTTAATATAAGTTGTAAGATTTTATATTGATTGACAGTTTTAATGGAATTTTAATGTATTTTTATATATGTTGTTAGCCGCCCTGAGCCTGCAGAATGGCGGGGAGGGCGGGATATAAATGTAAATGTAAATAAATAAATAAATTTTGTATTAAACCGTTGGATCCTAACCCTTTAAGAAATTATAAGTTTGCACTGGAGAAATAGTTGAACTGTTAAGAATTGTTAAAATTATCTTGGATAATATGTTCTTTCCACTTCTGTTCGTAAGTTATTCATGGAGTGTTTGTGTTTTGATACAACCTCCTCCGTTGAGCTCTCTTTTGGGCATAACCACCTGGAACTTGGCCATCCTACACTACACTGGCTCAGACAAATTTTGCCCCTTTATCCCTTTTTTGTGGCGAGGGGAATACCCCTTCATTCCTCTTATAATAAAAGCATTTTGCACGTGTCAGGGGTCATTTCGTAGAAAAAGAGCTACGGGAACTCATTAGCATAACTCATTAGCATATGCCACACCCCCTGACATCAGGGGCCCGGCGGTGGACCTGCAAGGCCAGCGGGAGTGCGAGGAAGCCCCGCCAAGGCCCTCCCTGGCCCCAGGCAGGCAGGGGTGGGGAGAGGCGGGGAGGAAGCAGCTTACCCTCCCTCTTCTCCTGCCTCCTCCTGGCTGAATGAGGGCTGGAAGCGGGGCGGCCGGAAGCAGGGGGCGGGGCTTCGTCATGTGCCCCGCCCCCTGCACCTCACCTGGGGGAACTGCATTCCCCCTGCGTTCCCCCCCGAAATGACCTCTTGACCTCTTGGATCCCAAGCCCAGTTCCATTGTTGAGCCAGTCCTCTGCTGCAAAGTCTCTTCCTCCAGCACTTCCTCAACCAGGGCTATTTTTGGGCAGGAACGCACAGGAACGGAGTTCCGGCTGGCTCCCGAGTTGGCCACGCCCAGCAGGAGCTCATTAGCATAATAGGCCACACCCAACAGCAGAAACGCATTAGGATTGGCTACATTAGGGGTGTGTGGCCTAACATGCAAAGGAGTTCCTGCTACAAAAAAAGCCCGGGGTTTTGACCACAAACAAGGTCAACAGAATAAGGAGAAAAAGGTGGGTGTGGCTGGATGAGCACACTTCTGGTAACATGGGGGTGTGGCCTAATATGCTAATGCGCTGTGCTGTCAGGGCTGTGGCCTAATATGCTAATGAGTTTCTGCTGTTGGGTGTGGCCTATTATGCTAATGAGTTCCTGCTGGGCTTTTTCTACAAAAAAAGCCCTGCACAAGACCAATGTCTTTCAATGCGCTGAACAGAACCTGACTGTCCCATGCAACGTACAAAGCACAGTGCAACCAGAAGAGAGGCTTAAAATCCAAGCCCATGCCTGTTATTCATAAAGATGGGGGGGGGGGGGGGGGGGGGAGAGAGAGACTGAGTTGCTTGAAAACTCATGCCACAAAGCAAATAGTCTTTGCATCTGCCAGAATACATCTCACATGGATTAATCTCACCTCCACTGACATTTTTATTATTGCCTGGCTGATCGCTTGTTTATATGGGTTGCAGGGTTTTTTTTTACTTCCTTATTATTCTTTAAACCAATAATGTCCAGGGTTTACAAATGTCCTTTCAAATCGGGACATACTACACCGAAAGTTCCCAGCCCTTCATTCCAATAAACCTCACGTGCTCAGATTAAGAGCATGGCTTTCGGGGGGGGGGGAACCCCTCCGGCGAGAGCTAGACCAGTATCCGTAACAGTTTTTGGACAAGAACCAAGACGAAGAAGAAAGAAATCTGCTTTTATGTATGTCTAGACGCCACTTCTCCAGAAATAAACCTGGCACCTGGTTTATCTCCCAAGGCTATTGGGGAAAGGTGATAATTAGGCGAAAGGTAGAGAGAGCCTGGGTATCTGCCAGCCCCTACTTCACACAGAACCCTCCTGGGTTTTTCCATGTCTCTCATACCACTGGCTTTCCTCGCTAACAGTTGTACAGTGGGGTTCAGAAAAAATAATGAGGCAAGGAAGTGTGAAATTGGCTAATAAAGCAAACGATATTCAGCAGTTCACCTTCATCACGGTTTCTTACAAAATCTGCACCATCGACGGAAGGCGAGGAAAGGTTTTCCAGGAACTTAATGGAATCGAGCACTGATGGAATCAACTCAATTCACTGTCTCTTAGGCCATGTCCCAATGACTTCATTTCATATTCAGTGCCGAGACAGATAATTGGGAACACTGGAAGGTTCCGGGATACAGCAGGTTATCCTTTTTTGCCCTGCCAATATCCCCAAAAGCATAGTCTTTGGGTACTTTTGTTGCCCGAATAAATCCTAACTAGCATTTGGAGGAAAACCACCTATGTTCAGAGAAACAAAGCTACGAAATTCCCAATGTTTAATTCACGTAATAAAGTGGATTAAAAAAAGAGAGTCCGTAGTATTATAATGCTTCTTAGGAGCACCACTCAGACTGGGAAGCGCAGCATTGGTTACCCCATTTCAAACAGGAGGAAATAGGGCCAAGAGAAGGCACAGAAATGAACTGTTAAAATTGTTAAAGGGCTGGAGCATCAGCCTGGCAAACAAAAGTTAAATTGGGCAGGATGTGGGAGTCGATATCTAAGGAGGGACATAAGAGAAGATAGAAGAAGAAGATAGAAGAAGAAGAAGAAGAAAGATGAAGAAGAGGAGGAGGAGGAGGAGGAGGAGGAGGAGGAGGAGGAGATTGGATTTATACCTTGCCCTTCACTGGTAGTATCAGAGCAGCTTACACACTCCTTTCCCTTCCCCTCCCCACAACAGACACCCTGTGAGGTAGGTGGGGCTGAGAGAATTTTGACAGAAACTGCTCTTTTTCAAGAACAGCTCTGACAGTACTATGGCTTGCCCAAGGTCATCCAGCAGCTGCAAGTGGAGGAGTGGGGAATCAAACCCTGTTCTCCCGGATTAGAGTCCACACACTTAACCACCACTACACCAAACTGGCTTATGCAATTGTGCAAGGTGTGTTGAGAGTTAACAGTGAGAAATCCTTCTCTCTCCCTCCCTGCTAGAACTTGGGATTTTCCAGTGATACCAATTTGGCAGACGATTCAGGAAAACACACACAGGTAGGTTTGCATGCAAGTCACAAATGACTTCTGGAATCTGTTGTCACAGGGCAGCACACATAAGAGACGCCAATGTTGGATCAGGCCAAAGGCCCATCCAGTCCAACACTCTGTCACACAGTGGCCAAAAATACCAGGTGCCATCAGGAGGTCCACCAGTGGGGACCATTAGTTCCAAAGATGTTGGAATAAGTTCAGCTCGCTACTCTCCTGAGGAGAGATAAAATGGAACCTCCATATCCAGAGGCAGTATACACAAGATCTTCAAGCATCAGAGAGCTTCCAAGGCTGGCCACTGCTTAGATATGAACTGTTCCGCTCCGTGGGTTATCTGATTAGGGACCTAAGGCACTTCTTAGCTCATTGCCAAATGCATTGAGTTTTGCCATGTTGTGGCAGGCCCAAGTTAAAGAAGGACCTCTCTGTACTATTTATGTGCTTTACAAATATGCTGGGAGTGAGAACAAACCCTGCGTGTGCCACTCCTCTCAATTTCAGTACCTGGCAGAAAATGAAAGTTGAGCCACACCTTGCGTTTCTTGCTTGCAAAACCACACAGTCCAATGGACAAGTTATTACAAACTCATCCTGGCTGAGCGCGCAGTCTTGGGGGAGAAGGGCTCCCCTACCTTTTCTTTCTTTGTTTCTTTCTGCCCAGCCATGAGATCACGTTTCACAAGTCCAATTTCTTTATCTCTCACTACAGATGGGCCTCTGTGTGACCTTATCCCCTCCCACCACAAATGCCACTCAGCAACTGTGGCAGATAGGAAGGGTATGGTTCCTTTCTCTCATTCCTCAGTTCCCTGTGCGGTAGCGATAAAGACTATTCTTGCCCCCAACACTGTCAAAATAATGTTCTAGCAAGAGTTGTCAGGATTAGCCTGGCTGGTAACCATTGGGTGGGCTGGGGGTGGGGACATGGGGGGCATACTATGCTAGCTGAAGCTATCCGTGTGTTACTTCCAGAGAAAACCCAGAAGTGACATAAGGTCGCTCTAGGAACTGTCGGAAGCTCTATGGTTTTACCACAGAGTTTTGAGTGATTCCTAGAGCTACCCTACAGCACATCCAGGTTTCTCCTGGAAGTGATGCAGAGATGCAGCCATCACTGTTTTTTTCCTCCCGCCAGTGCCTGAAGCAGCAGCAGACAACTAGGGAGCTGGCGGAAGGCAACAGCAGAAGGCCTGGAAGCCCTAGTTCCAATATAAGACACCACTGAAAATAGTTAAAAATCCACAAACTTACCTTTGGAGCTATCTTGATACGGAAGAGTATGTTCTGAGAGTGGTACTCATCACTCGCTTGGAGAACGGCCATGTCTTCTGAACTCCTGGATCCATCATGGACGTAATGCACACGTTCTCCCTCAAGGTCATCAAGCTTGAACATGCTCGTCGCAGACAATGTGTTCCTGGGAAACCTGGCCAGTCGCCCATGATGCGGAGGATCCACAACGGTCACCGTCACATCCTGGGGATTGTCATTGTCCTGAATGTCAAGCACCAGGTTAGTTAAGGCTGCTGCTTCCCCTCTGCCGAGGATGAGGGCTTCGTTCTTTAGCACGCGGGGGGCCTGAAACACCAAGAGCACCTTCAGTTCCTTGATTATGGATAAATCCTCTGCATACTCTGCTTCATTTACACACACACACACACACACATATATATATATATATATATTTAAAAAAAAGTAAAAATCCTAGATTTTGGGAGTGGAATCTGAGAAAGGTGGAGTTTGAGGAGGGAAGGGACCTCATTAAGAGTACAATGCAATAGAGTCCATCCTTCAATGAAGCCATTTTCTCCCGAGGAACTGTTCTGTGTAGCCTGGATATCAGTTGTAATTTTGGGCTGGAAGTTGGCAGCCCTATCCCCAGCAGCCCATCTCTATATTTGTGAAAGTAAATCACATTACTGGAGGGGCCTCTTTCAAGACTCAGTCCCTGAAACTTTGTCCACCCTAGTCTCCCCATTCCCCCCCCCAAGCAGCTCTAGGCTTGCAAGGGGGGGGTGGCATGCTCTCAAATAAAGAAAGTTCAAAGCAAATTCTTCTTCCTGAGCAACTCCTTGCAAAGTTTGATGAATTGGCCTTTTCAGCGCTGTGCTGAGAGTCAGCAGTTCAAGGACTCTCTTTAAACACCAGGCAAGTAATTCTCTGGGTATACTAGAAATAACATATTACGAAGGACTCATGTTGTGGCGATTGCTAACAACTGTGCACTTATCTCCTGAAGTGCAAGGACACGGATTAGTTTAGAAGTATGAGACGGAGGCTGGGGGGAGAAAAAAAAGAAAAATAGTGCGGACTCTAGAAGGAAAGAAAGACCAAGAATAATGGGGCTAACTGATGGAGAGAGAGAGACAGAGAGAGAGAAGAGCCTGCAAAGAGCACCGTCACCCGAACTCCATAAGCATTAGAGAGACAAACAGCCAACGCTCCCTCTAAGCTGTGGCGTCTCGTGAGCAAAAATTCTACTTTGTGAGCTCCTGGCATTAAAGTTGTGAGCGAGCAATTTGGCTACTGCATCAATTAGTTTGCCCTGGAGCCACATCCTTCCTGAGCTAGGGCAAAAACGTGTAAACTGGAGGCCAAAAAACTGTGAGCTAGCTCACACTAACTCAGCTTAGAGGGAACACTGCAAACAGCCTGTTTGGATCCCCCCCCCCAAGTTCTTCAACATCATGAGGACTAGACACATGGTTTCTTCTTTAAAAAATTACGTTGAAATTCTCAAGATGTAAAATGCTGATATTTAAGACTTGGTTTTTTGCATAACAACAATAATACTGCAGGTTTATAGAACACATACAGCCAGTCTAAACGCAATTATTTCAATGGGTTTCGACGAGACTCTGTTCAGGATTGCACTGATAAGCTTGTAGGGAGAGGAGTGGAGGAGGGAATAAAAACTGATAAGAGAAGGAAATTGGGGGATGGAGAGCTACGCAGGAGTAGCTCTCTACACTCTGATTAATCTGGCCCCCACGTCATTGCATAAAAGGATTTACCAGCTACATTAAATGAAAAAGGCAAAAGGAAGAGGGGGAAATTAATTACCAAGAAACGTTCGTGTAGGGGGAGGGGAAGCTGGTGATGGGCAGTTTTAGTGGCATGATAACAACGTTCGGGACTGAACGTAAATAAAGAATACACACTTTCTATTCATGTTTGGGAAAACATACAAAATTGGGTAGCTGTTTTTCCGTATTACCTGTGTCGATACGGCTTGAACAACAAACACTTCAGGTTCAGACACGTGCCGCTGAAGGCCAGCTTCCAAGGCAAAATGACCGTTCCTACATCAAAATCCCCCCAAGAAGATTATATAAATGGATATCAGGCACCAAACAACTGGAATACAGATAACGAAGGAATGTGCAGAGCGATGATATACTATATCTATTGCTTCAAAAGCCCACTAAAGCTGTTTGATCACAGATTATAATATGGGGGGGGGGGGGGGGGATGAACCTTCTTATCATGCCTAACAATGGCATCTTCACATCATCAGTATATATAGCCTTTCACCAGCTTTTGCTTGCACATTTTCAAACCTTGGGAGCTAGAAACTTAATTTTTTTTTTTAAATGATGCAAACTCAGGGGTCATTTGGGGGGGGATGCGGGGGGACGCCATCCCGCCCGGGTGAGGTGCGGGAGGGCGGGGCCTGGAGCTCCCTGCTGGTGCCTGCTGGAGGTCGCCACCGGCTGTGGGGAGGACACACTTCCGGTGATGTCAGGGGGTGTGGCATATGCTAATGAGTTATGCTAATGAGTCCCCCTAGCTCTTTTTCTATGAAATGACCCCTGTGCAAACTGATATTCTGAGAATAGGGAATACTGCACCGGGTACCTGTTCCTGCACCTTTGGGATGTGCTTGCAGAACTGCTGCACAGATACAGTCCTGATGATATGTCTAGTAGTAACACAGCCAGTCAGGGCAGGGAATTCCCCACCCCAAGCTCCATTGCCCGCTGCTCCAAGCAGCTTTCTCTAGGTTTTCCCAAGAAGTGACATCTTACAATAGACTTTCTGGCAATGGCTGAAGCAATCCTCGTCACTTCCAGGTAGCTCTAGGAAACGCCAGGAACTCTACGGTCAGAACTTCCAGTGAGTAGCCAGGGCCTTGTTTTTCTTTTAAACTTTCTCCTGGGATTAGGCTTGCCAAGTCCCCCTGGGGGGTGGGGAAACCACTGCCCCAGAGGCCCGTTCCCCACTGGCGGTGGATCGGGCCACGGGGGGAACCCCACCCAGGCGTGTGCGTCACCAGGAAGTGACGTTATGACGCCGGGCACGCTGGGGGCAGGGCTACGGTAATCCGAGGGAAAACTCTATGGTTTTCCCTCGGATGGTCGTGGCCCCGCCCCCAGCGTGCCCAGCGTCATAACGTCACTTCCTGGTGATGTGCGTGTGGCGCGCTCCAGCCGCGGACTGGGAGTCCCCCGGTCCGCAGGTTTTTCGATTTGGCAACCCTACCTGGGATGCTACCCACCCACCCCCCATGACAAACCTCCCACTGGCTGCCTGGCAACCCTAAGTTCAAATAAAACCAACTTATACCTTTGACCTGCTGACGTGGCTTCCAAATTCTATAGCCTAATCTTTCTGAACTTCTCTTTATGACCCCAGAAAAAAGAAAGGGGAACAACTTCCTTGGATGGGGCTCAATCAGTTAATTGCTTCATAGCTGTCAAGGGGAGATGGCAAAGAATCTGGGCCAATTTTGTGCTATCTGAAAGCGCCCTCCGTCAACACCCTTGTAGTCACAGCCAGAGGAAATGTAAAAAAAACCCTGTTATGTCTGGACATAAGGAGGCATGTCTGGACTTGTCTGGCAGGCCACCTGGATGGAGAGTGGGAAGGCATGTCTGGGCAGGCCACCTAGTTGGAGCTTGAAGGCCCAGAACAAAGGCAGGCAGGATCCTGGAACCTGCCAGCGGATTGGCCCCTGAGGGCAGCCAGCCAATCTGGAGCCTGGAGGCCATTTGAACTCACCAATCGCATGGGGGCTGGGAGTGGCTTGGGTGTATATAGTCAGGGCAGTTGCCCCATGTAAAGCATTCCTGTTGAGATGCAATAAACTGCCGCTTGCTGAAATCACTCTGCCTTCGCCTCTGCCATGTTAAACCCACTATTTAACAAAAACATAACCTGGAATCACCTGGATTTCTCCTTATTGTGCACAAAGAGAACCCGTTGCTCCATCACATCCTCCCAGGTGAAATAATCCCCCTGGTTCAGCTCTGTCTCTCGCCCAGTTGCCACCATCAGCAGCCTGCCATTGGTGGGAGAGCTTGCCACTCGAAACAGCAGCTCTTCTCTTTGCTCGTCAAGGTCTTGTACCTCCATGATGGAAACGTCGAGTGGTTTCACCCCACCGATCCCCACCTGGAGTGAGCTGTTTGCACTGAGCACAGGAGCACGCACGATCACTAAAACAAAGCAAGGGAGACGATGCCCCATCAATATGATGATGCAAACTTCCGTCAAGAAGAGGGCGAGAAAAATGCCAGGATCCCAGGGCTCGGGCCAGGAACACAAGGGGCAAATCAAACCAAGCAGCGCCTGGGTTGCCAAAGAGTCAGATAAGGGTCAAAAGGCCAGAAGCAGGAGGCAATGTCAAAAGCAGACTAAGTCCAATATCTAGACAGTCACTAGGTTAGGGGTCCTCCTGCAGGTAGTTTGTGAACTACCGATAGCTCACTGGCTGCAGCTGAGTAGCTTGTAGTAGATGATATAGGAAAAGATTGTTAAAAATCTGCAATAGGCTTTACAAAAAATCTTTTGTTTTATAGGATTTTTCTCTGAGCTGCATTTTTGGTGCTTTTGCTAGTCCACGGTCTGTTTCTAGAACAGAAGAAAACTTGGAAACATGCCAGGGTAAAAATGGGAGAGACGAACTTGGAATATTTTTCTTTACTCAGAATCTACTCTCAGTAACGAAAAAGGTGGCAACTTCTGCTCTAGATAGAGTAGAAGAGGAAGAAGAGTAGGCTCTTATACCCTGCTTTTCTCCACCTTTAAGGAGTCTCAAAGTGGCTTACAATCACATTCCGTTCCCCTCCCCACAACAGGCACCTTGTGAGGTAGGTAGGACTGAGAGATTTCTGAGAGAACGGTGACTGGCCCAAGGTCACCCAGCAGGCTTCATATGGAGGAGGTGTGGAGAATCAAACCTGGTTCTCCAAGGCTGGCAACCAGCAGGAGAATGACTTTGTGGTAGAGCCCCTTATCAGTGATGTTGAAATGTTACCGGCGCTGTGGTGATGTCACTTCTGGGGCAACCCGGAACTGACGTGATCATGTAGGGGTTACATTCTTTTGATGGCTTTGCATTCTCAAACTCTTGAATAGCTTTCTTACATTTACATGCTATCTGCATTCTAGTTTCGCTTGCAGTGTGGCTACAGTTTTTAGTACTCTCCAATTATACAAAGAAAGCAAAAAAGGAAAGAGTGTTTTAGACTATAAACAGAATGAGCTATAGTTTTTGAAAACCACTGTCATTAGATTCTTTTGTATTCAGCTCTTGGACAGTTTCAGAGCTTAGCTTTGTAAAATAAAGCTCTGCATGGGATTTATGAAATGTTCTGCGAACTGAGTTCCCCCCCAAGGGTGGAACATTTTTTAAAATATTGTTTTACTTGGTCTTGTTGACTGTGTGTTCTCGTTGTCTGCGGCCTTTAAAACCAGCTTCTGAAAGGTGGGATACACATTATTTAAAGTAATGGGGACTGGATCCTGTGTCTTTATTCTTCTAAGCAAGATGCCTTGCTCTAGCAGAAGGAATCTTGCTCCGGAGGAAGGTTTGTTACGTCGGAGGAAGGCTCTCGCACTTAGTGGAAGGAAGTCATAGGTTCTCTCATCAGAACAAAATTTAAAAAACCAAAAATTATTATTATTAATTTCTATGTATGCAGATCTAGATCCATTGAAGAAGAGTTGATTTTTATACTCCACTTTTCTCTTCCTAAGGAGTCTCAAAGAGGCTTACAATCGCATTCCCTTCCTCTCCCCACAACAGGCATCTTGTGAGGTTGGTGGAGCTGAGAGAGTTCTGAGAGACCTGTGACTGGCCCAAGGTCACCCAGCAGGCTTCCTGTGGAAGAGGAGTGAGGGAATCAAAGCCGGTTCTCCAGATTAGAGTTCGCCACTCTTAACCACTACACCATGCTGGCCCATGTCATTGACTTTACAGAGATATGAGCCAACAGCAAAGGGAAATGCAGAGATATGAGCCAACAGCAAAGGGAAATGGATTACAGCATGTGATCCATGTACCAAAAGAAAATGTGGGAGACATTAGGACACGTAAATGCAGTAAAAATGTTGATGCTACCAAAATAGAGTTTTCTATGGATGAGTCTTCACATGGTAACCCCAGGCAAAATCAGGGTTGCCAGCTTCATGTTGGGAAATTCCTGGAGATTTGGGGGGCCGAGCCTGGGGAGGACAGGGTTTGCGGAGGGGAGGGACCTCAGTGGGGTGTAGTGCCATTGAGTCCGTTTTCTCCAGGTAGCCATCTCCCCAAAGGAAACTCATCTCTGTTGTCTGGAGATCTGTTGTAATTCCAGGAGATCTCCAAGACTCTCTTGGCTGGCAACACTAAAATATGTTGAAACAATAGCAATATTTATAAACAATTTTGAGAGCAATCCTAAATAGGTCTACTTGGAATCCTACTGAGGTCTATTCAACTGGGCTTGCTCCCATGAAAGCGTTCTTAGGATTGCACTGTTTATCTGGGACAAAAAAGACACCTGGGGGGAACTAGAATCCTGCACAAAATAAATGGGATTGCTGGAGGGACGGAAACCCTCGATACCAAACTCTGTCCTACTGCAGCAAAACACGTTTGGATTCTTACAGGGGCCATGGATGATTTGCTGTTCTGAAACAGCAGTCAAAAATTTTTTTCATCAGAATGCCTTTAAAGAAATTTCTGTGGATGAGAAAAAAATCAAATAGATGTGGATTTGATAGTCAGTAGAATTAAGCTGTTAATAGTCTACTCCAAATATGGGGTTCATATATGAACACATGAAGCTGCCTTATACTGAATCAGACCCCTCCCTCAAGGTCAGTATTGTCTACTCAGACTGGCAGCGGCTCTCCAGGGTCTCAGGCAGAGGGGTCTTTTCACATCACCTACTGCCTGATCCTTTAAGTGGAGATGCTGGGGATTGAACTTGGGACATATTGCATGCCAAGCAGAGGCTCTGCCAATGAGTCACAGACCCTCCCCTGAAGGAAAAAAAATATAGAATATATAATAAAACTATCACCATCTCAACCTCCCCTTGCTTCAACAGCCAAGGGAATTAAATAAGCTGCAAAGTGTCCAGTTAAAATCACTTTTTTAAAAAAGTAAACTTTTGGTTCAGACACTTTTCAAGCTCTGGTTTTTGGTAATCAGACAGCAGCTGTCTCTCCGTGGCCAGTAATGCCAGCATTTCAGTGCCTAAGTATCTGCAGTGAAGAGCTTCCTTGCAGCTGCCCTTTAAAAGCAGGGACTGGCACACTAGAGCCGTTACCCATGCTCTAAAAAAGCACGCCAGGAGTACAGTGCGGCAAAGAGTGGCCGCAAAGGTCTGTGGCAGGAAAGTGCAGATAAAGACTTCCGTGGGGCAGCTCCACTGCCTATGTCTAGACAAGCAGGACTCTGAGGTACTCACCTTCACACACTCTCTTCTGAGGATGGCCATAGAAACCGTGGCCACAGTCGGAAACGCAACGCCCTCCCTGCAGAAACGTGGTGGCGTCGCACTCTCGGCACCGGCTGGCTCCCTCGCATTCCAGGCATCCTTCAGAGCAAGCTGGCACGAGAAGGAAAGGGGCAGCTATTGAAAGGAGGGCCAGACACCGTTAGTGGCATTTGCTGGTCTTAGGAAATAAGGCACAACTTGTTGCCACTTTACCCTGACCTGGATGGCCCAGGCTAGCATGATCTCGTCAGATCTCAGAAGCTAAGCTTAGTATTCAATGGGAGACAGGCCTTTAGCTGCAGTGGGGCTTTTGGGGGCATCGCCCCCTTTCTTCAAGGCACAGCCACACAAGAATTTATCCTGTAAATGCTTTTTTCAATCATTTAAAACCTTTTTTTAAAAGGTGTGAATTCCTTTAGGCAGAATGGGGTGCTGTAGTTGATTAATTCCCACACTGAGCAAGGGGGTTGGAGTGGGTGACCTCTAGGATACCTTCTAGTTCCATGTCAAGAAACTGGTCTCCTTTAAGAGCGTTTTTCTGCCTAAGTGTTGGCTTTCTTGACTATAGAAGTCATCACCCCCCACCTGCTGGCTTGTTATCAGAATAGTTGCTTAGGCTGGCAGAAGTGGTTAACTTGCAGCAACTGAGAACAGTCATCTAAAGTGGTTGACAGCTTGCAGTTTAGAGATCTATCCCAGGAACAGTTTTCTTTTGACTAAATGCCTTTTCTTCCTGCATTGAGACCTTCAGCCCCATAAGAAAAAAAAAATTCCCCCCAAAAGCCACAAAATCCTGGCTACGAGCCTGATGAGAGACCATCAAGGAAGTCCAGGGTCACGACACAGAGGCAGGCAATGGCAAACTACCTCTGAACGTCTCTTGCCTTGAAAACACTACGGGGCCATCATCAATCAATTGAAATTTGACGGCACTCTCCACTACCACCGCTGCTCTTTTATTTGTTGTTGACGATGTAAGGGTTTACACATGAAGGATTTCTTTGCTGCATGTTGCCCTGATCTCTGTGACCACACCGGGGTTCATTTGCACAGACAGAGGTCCACTGTCCGCAGTGTCCCACACCACTTCAGTAGAGGAAGTAGCTCCGTGTGTGCACATGGAAAGCAGCACATGTACATATGCACAGTGGGCACTCCATGAAATTGCTGAGCAGTTGGGTTAGAATGGATAAAAGGAAGTCCTTCTTCACCCAAAGAGTGATTCAGACATGGAATTCACTGCCACAGGAGGTGGCGGTGGCTACAAGCATGGACGGCTTCAAGAGGGAATTGGATAATCATATGGAGCAGAGGTCCATCAGTGACTATTAGCCACAAGGTATAGATAGGAACTCTCCGTCTGGGGCAAGTGATGCTCTGTATTCTTGGTGCTTGGGGGGGGGGAGGCAAGAGTAGGAGGGCTTCTGGTGTCCTGGCCCCACTGCTGGCCCTCCTGATGGCACCTTAGAGGGTTTTCCGAGTAAAACCCCCCCCCCCACAGTACTGGCCAATTAGGCACCCTCCCGCGCGCAGGATAAAGCTTAGAGACCGTTAGGTAGCTGAAGCTGAGAACGAACACTCTCCCACGGCACCTAGGGAAAACCCAGACACCACAACACCCTCCTGCACATCTGTATAGATAAGCATTTCAGCGCACAGCAGGGAAAGCACAGAAAGGAATGCAGTAGCAATTAACCTGAGAGGAAAGCAATAGCAATTAACCAGACACAGACCAAACTCCCCAACCTTCATGGCAGCATAGCTGACAGCCTGATCCAACATTCGCTTCTCTTATGTAACATTATGTTCCAGGAGTTTTGACATCTGCCTGGCTTCTACACACCGTGTGGTTACTGTTGTCAAGAATAAAATGGTCCGCATGCTAAATATGGAAAGGTACAAGTTTTTGAGAAGCCCATAAAGGCAACATATGGAAGACTTCCGTATGAATTAAGGCTTGCGTGAAGAAGTGTGGTGTAATGGTTATGACGTCAGATGCGGATCTGGGAGACGCAGGGACAAATCTCCATTCAGCCCTGAAACGGACTGAAGGACCTTGGGCGAGGCCCTCTCTTTCATCATAACCCATCTTACCAAGTTGTTGGGAAGATAAAATGGAGGAGAGAACCAGGTTTGCAGGAGGGCAGGACAAAGATGAGATAGATGTCTGTTATCACAGTCATCTAATCTGCACCTGGTGGTGGAAAGGGCCATCAGGTCACAGCTGACTTATAGCGATCCTGAAGGGTTTCCAAGGCAAGAGACAAACAGAGGTGGCACACCATTGCCTACCTTCGCATAGCAATGCCAGACTTCCTTGGAGGTCTCCCATTGAAATACTAAGCAAGGCTGGCCCTGCTTAGGTTCCAAGATCTGATAAGAACGGGCTAGCCTGGGCCAGCCAGGTCACGGCAAACTGTATCTAAAGGTAAAGGTAAAGGTTCCCTTGCTCGAAAGCCAGTCGAATCCGACTCTAGGGTTGCGGTGCTCATCTCCGTTTCCAAGCCGAAGAGCCAGCGCTGTCCGAAGACGTTTCCGTGGTCATGTGGCCAGCATGACTAAACACCAAGGCACACAGAACGCTGTTACCTTCCCACCGAAGTGGTGCCTATTTATCTACTTGCAATTTCTTGCTTTTGAACTGCTAGGTTGGCAGGAGCTGGAACTAGAGATGGGAGCTCACCCCGTCTTGCAGCACCCAGGTCTCGAACTGCTAAACTACTGACCTTCCACAGCCTGCAGTGCAACGTCTTAACCACTTGAGCCACCGCAGCTCCTGAAACTGTATCTACTTCCAGCCAATTTACTTAGCAGATCCTGAATTCTAGTACTATACAAAGTGCGGGATGGGAAGAAAAGAGACAGAAGTTCCTCTCTACCCACCTTACATGGATTATAATTTCATGAAATTCTACTATGCTGATGCGACTGGACCAGTTTCAGTTTGCTTGTGAGGAAGCTGCATTTTTCATGGACTCCGTTCATTTTCAAATCCACATCTCATTAGTGTGCATCTCCCTCTGTAGCACTTTCATGTCAATCCTACTTTCTGAATTTTCCACTGCTAGACGTGATATCCTCATTCTTCTAGATTACACTACTACTACTATTACTACTACTGTTGTTGTTTTTGTTGTTGTTATTTTCAATTGCATCAAAGCTGCTGTGTGTCAGTTCAAGAGTTATTATTATTATTGAGTTCTGGTTTTTGGCAACTCACAAACAAATGCACGCCATCAAGCTCCGATGGGTGCAATTCGGATCGAGGCGGCAGGGAGGGGGTTCGGAAGTCTTCAACCCCCCCACGAAGCTCTTGAAGGGAGCTTCTAGCCTGGAGCGCTAGAGGAGCCGCTCCCGAAGCTGCAGCTGAAGGATCGAGGCTCTTTTTTGCTCCTTAAGGTCCCGCTGCCATGAAGCCAGCAATGGTGCCCAGAGACGTTACCAGACCAGAGCAAGGACTTAAGCAAAGGACTCTCCCTATGGGATGACATCCAGCAAAAAAACCCCAGTGAGTTAATGAGTTTCAAAAGTAATTAAATGGCTTATTGTAAACTTGATTATATAGGGAAATACCCAAAGTGTAAGACAGATCATTATTGTACCTTGCTACTCTGAATTTGTAGTGTGTAATTTGTGTAGCTTATAGTGAAAAGCAATAAAAAATTCTAAAAATGTTATTATTATTATTATTATTTTCAATTGCATCAAAGCTGCTGTGTGCCAGTTCAAGAGTGTTTAAACTTTGATCCCCTTTGATTCACCTGTGCATTTTTGCTCTCCATAGTCTGCATAGTAGGGCTTCCTACATTCCGTGACGCACTGCAAATCCAAGAGAAGAAACGGGGGTTCACAGCGGTTGCATTCACCGGGGGCACGGCACTGGAGGCAGTGGACATCACATCCTTTTAAAAATGTAGACAGAAGACACAGAAATCAGTTCTCGTAGGTCTAAACATACATGCGTAGATTTATCTGTGCACGGCACTTGCATGCCGCCCTTCCTCAAAGGAACGTCTTGTCGAGGGGGCCACCTCATTCTGTCCTCCGGGTAAAACAGCTGGCAGGTTAGAAGCCACTCGGGAGGACAAAGTGGAGGTATGTCAGCTTATCTGTCGTTGTGGAGCAGGCCTCCCCCACCTTCTTGAGCCTGCAGATGGTGGGGTGCAAACACAAAACGGCTGCCATGGGAGGCAGAGCCACACACAAAGAAGATGCTCAGGTGCAGGGGAGAAAAGAGATATGGGAGGAAAAATCAAGAGCCTATATAAACAAGCTCTAAGAAGTATATATATTGTATGATTTATATAATTGTGGTTTCTGTTCATGTTTAAGATATGACTGTTGTTTATGATAGTCGTTTATGTTTAAGCGATGACTCGGATGTGGCGGAAGAGCCATCGCGCAGACTCACTTTGGCACGTGTCGGATTCCTTGTAGAAAGCCAACGGGCACTGTTCGACACAGTTGCCGTCGTGGAGCACGTATCCCTCCATGCATTGCAAGCAGTCGCTACTCCGGGGACCGCTGCAGGCGTTACAGCTCCAGTCGCACTCTAGATTTTTAAAAAAAATTACAATGGAAACATCACCTGTTTTAACACACACCATACAGCCTACTGACTTTAGATGGGCTGAAGGGCAAAGGAAGAACGGGGAACAGATGTGAGGTAGCAAAAAAAGAAAGAGAGGGATGCCTTAAGGAGAGACCTGCTTAGAATAACAGGAATTCTTCTCTGGGGTTTAACATTTCCCAGTTATGTTAAACATGGGCACGGGCCAGTGCCTTCCACCGTCAGAAGCCCAGCCGGGCAGCCAAAACAGACAGTCTCCTCTCGGAGCCTGTGGCCGCTATCCGCTTAACACTGAGCATGAAAGCCCATCGCTCGCCGGTCGGTTCTGCCACGGCTAGATCATAAATCTCTTCCGTGCACTGAGACTTCTGGGATTTCCCACAAGGGCTGCTAATTAAAGCTGGCCGAATTGATGACGAAGGTGACATTGCTCCCGCAGTCAAAATGGATTTCCAGGAAGGAAGAGGAGCGAAGTTAACAGGGAAGAGGAGATGGGCTTCGTCTAGCTTGCAGTTCTAGGCAGCCGGCAGGCTGTCTCTTGGGATAGGCATGTGAGAGCTATAGGAAAAGACAGTTTTATTATGAACAGGGGTAAGGGTTTATTTAGCACTAATGGTATGCTTGATGGGGTATGGCACGGAGCCGGGCCAGGGCCTTTACCCCAGAGTGCCTTGATATTATGACAGACAGGTAAGACAGGCGTTGACTGCAGAGGAGCATGGATGAGATTGAGGAAGACAGACAGCAATGGATGGGCCAGTAAGGTGATTCTCGGGTGTTGCAGGAATGGCTCTGTTAAAGAAAGGGATTTGTGGGAAGAAGGAAGAGGAGAGGTTGGCAGGCTGTGAGAGTCAATGCAATTGTTTAGAACACCAGACCTGGCCGTCACGGTGGAAAGTAGTGTCAAGTCCCGGCCGACTTACGGCGACTCCATAAGGGTTTCAAGGCAAGAGCCGAACAGAAGTGGTTTGCCATTCCCGGCTTCTGCGTAGCCACCGTGGCATTCCTTGGTGGTCTCCCAGCCCAGTAGTGACCAGGGCTGACCCTGCTTAGCTTCTGAGATCTGATGAGATGGGCTAGCCTGGGCCATCCAGGCAGGATCTTGGAAACCCAGTTTTAAATCCAGAATCTTACTAAGGGATCTTGGGCAGTCACTCTTTCTCAGTCTAACCCGTCTCACAGGATTGTTGTGAGATTTTTTGTTGCCCTGAGTTTGTTGGAGGAAGGATAGGATAATAGCAGAGGGAAGATTCAAGAAGAAGAGGAGGAGGAGGAGGAGATTGGATTTATTCCCCGCCCTTCACTACCCAAAGGAGTCTCAGAGCGGCTTACAAACTCCTTTCCCTTCCCCTCCCCACGACAGACACCCTGTGAGGTTGGTGGGGCTGAGAGAACTCTTTCAAGGGCTGCTCTTGGGAGAACAGCTCTGAGAGAACTTGTGGCTGACCCAGGGTCACACAAGCTGCTGCATGTGGAGGAGTGGGGAATCAAACCCAGTTCTCCCAGATTAGAGTCCGCGCACTTAACCACTACACCAGACTGGCTACAGTATACAGCAACCTCTTAATTCAAGAGAGGGGTGTAAACTCCCTGTCCCCTGCTTTCACTGCATTCTTGCTCCTGGACAGCGTGTAGCAATTCCCAACCTCCTATTATTTCTGTGTGCACGCACTGAGAACTGAGCCCCTTATTAATCTGGAGATTTGGGGGATGGAGTATGGGGAGGGGGGATACTTCAGCAGGATATACTGCCACAGAGCCCACCTTCCAAAGTAACCATGTTCTCCAGGGCAACTGATTTTTGTCACCTGGAGATCAGTTGCAATCCCAGGAGATCTCCAGCCACCACCCGGAGGTTGGCAACCCTGATTCTCGCTTCCCGCTTGACAGCGGATAATATGCAGGACACTTCGAGGAGAAAAAGGGCTTGTGTGTGTACGTGGATGGAAAGAACACGAGAAGACCACTCCGAAGTAGACAGGCCAGCCATGCTACTTATTGCTATGATCTGGCGCAAGCAAGTCTAGATTTTTTTTTGCTTTCACCTTTGCAGGTCTTGGAAGAGAAGTCCAGGTAATACTGAGGAGCGCAGCTGTCATACTGGCATTCACCAAACAGCAAGACTTTGGAGGGGTCTCTGCAGGAGGTACAAGCGGCTCCTGAATCACAGCTCAGGCAGGAATCGCTGCAAGCTGGAAGGAGAGATAAGAATAAGGACGGTCACCCACTCAGAGCTGGACCAGTTTTGAGAGCACGATCCAGGAAGTATTTTTTATATATATATAAATTTTTTATTATTTTCTTAACAGTCATAATACAACATTTAAATCAAAATTCTAACAATTCAAACCTTAACAATACAAATAACTGTGTTCTTCTTTAGATTAAAGTTATACAAGCATATTCATAATACAAATGTATTCTTTACAAAAAAATAATTTGTTGTTATCACTACATTTTATTATAATATCCACTCTTTTCGAATAAAAGAATAATAATGAGATTTCTGACTAGGTTTAGTCTGTTCAAGAATATTTTCTAGGTTTTCTAATATTGAATGCCAACGACCGTAAAAAGCCTGAGATCTAGACATATCTTCTGAATTGGTAAGTCGTTCTGAGACCTTATCCATTAGGAGATGGTCCCATACTTTTGTATACCATGAGTTAATATTGAGTAAATTGTTATTTTTCCAACTCTGCGCTATAGTTGTTTTGGCTGCCGATAAAAGGATGGTAATTAGTTCTTTTGTATAGTTTGGAATAGGTACATCTTTCCAGTAATTCAATAACAGGAATCCAGGAAGTATCTGACGACACTTTTGCTTCAAACAAACCATGATCTCTCACCTTCAGCACCCTACCCACCCACCCTTTGCCGCCTGAGAAAGGAGAACAATATAGAGGGCAAAGCGGGTGTCACCTGGAAGATGGGGACGGGCCACGTTTATAGGAATGCATCGTCCGCAGGAGGACCTTTCCTGCGACGGCCCATTGTTTGTTGTGCAGCGGAGTGGGCTGGGAAGGGGACCTGCCTGGTGCTGAGCAGCATCAACGGAATCTTTCGTGCAGGGATCCACAAAGACGCTGCCAACACCTTTCTTGGCACTCGCCCAGTGCTTACAGAGAGTGGGTGTGGCCAGATGAGGCTCCTGCCCAGTAGGGCTTTTGATTGGCTGTGCAGATTAAAACGATGTTGCTTCGGTGGCAGCCGCCGCCACAGTGTTGGTTTTACCGCATGTGGAGGAGTGTATTTTTAAAAATTACTTCTCTTGTCCCCTACACTTAGGCTTCCTCTGTGTGCACGCGCTCACCTCATGCGGCAGCCTTTTTGTGGTTGGTGCAGTCTCCAAAGCTAGCTATTTTGTGGTTGTGCCCACCACCCTGTGTCAGAATTCCAAACATGCCAACGTGCTCAAAAAGGCTGAGGATCCCTTTCTTAGTGGTCTGTGCGGCATGCCACCCTCTAAAGCTGGAAATCCAAACACAACGTCCATGACAAAAATAACGAAGGGTCAATAAGGAGCTGTGGTGCCTCAAGTGGTTAAGATGCTGAACTGCAGGCTGTGGAAGGTCGGTAGTTCAGCAGTTCGAGACCCGAGTGTGCCGCGTGACGGAGTGAGCTCCCGTCTCTAGTTCCAGCTCCTGCCAACCTAGTAGTTCGAAAGCAAGAAATTGCAAGTAGATAAATAGGTACCACTTCGGTGGGAAGGTAACAGCATTCCGTGCGCCTTGGTGTTTAGTCATGCTGGCCACATGACCACGGAAATGTCTTCGGACAGCGCTGGACAGAGATTTCGGCTCTTCCGCTTTGAAATGGAGATGAGCACCGCAACCCTAGAGTCAGATTTGACTGGCTTTCGAGCAAGGGAACCTTTACCTTTATAATAAAGATATGTGCACAAAATTATTTACTGTAGTGATTCTGTAGAAAATTCTCTTCTGTCATCATTCACACGTAGCGGATACTGCGCAATGTAAACAAATCCGTTTCACAAGAATTGCTTTATCTGAGTGTGTAGCAATCATAATTCTTATCAATTTCTACTTTATTTATTAAACTTATACCCCCCTAATTCTCAACTCTTGAAGGAAACACCCCATGTTGACTCTCTAATAACAGAACAGAACCCCAAAACCTACACGCTCAGATAAATCAATTCTTGTGAAACAGATTTGTTTATATTGCGCAGTATCCGTTGCGTGTGAGCGATAACAGAAGAGAATTTTCTACAGAATTACTACAGTAAATGATTCTGCATACATATCTTTATTGACCCTTCATTATTTTTGTCACTGATGTTGTGCTTGGATTTCCACCTCCACCCGTGATCTCTCATTTTTGGCTTCTACCCTCTAACGCTGGGCCAGAGTTTTCCCAGAATTCCAGCTGATCTCGAGACAACAGAGATCAGCTCCTCTGGAGGAAATGGCAGGTCTGGAGGGTACACTCTATGGAATCACATCGTCCCTGAGGTCCCTCCTCTTCCCAAATTCTGCCATCCCCAGGTTCCACCCCCAAATCTCTAGCAATTTCTCAAAGCTTGAGTTGGCAAGCCTAGCTGGAGGACAGAGATGAAGCTTGGCACAGTTCATGTGCAGGCAAGGAGAAATCAAGCCAGAGGAAATCACTGGTCAAGTTTCAAGCCAGTGTGGCTTGAACAGTGTGGCAAAAGCAAAGAAGAAACTGGTGTCATGTGGTAATATGCCAAAGTTCCTCAGGGTGTTCAAAGTACCTCAAATATAATCTCTCAGTGATTAGCCACGATCAGATTCAACTTTTAATTGTGTGTTGTCTTATGTGTTTTAAGATTTTACGTAAGCTGACCTGAGCCTGCTTGGGGGGGGGGGGGGGGGGATATAAGTCAAATAAACAAACTACATGAGATCTTGCCTGCGAAAAGTGCTGTCAATTCACAGCCGATTTATGGTGACCCTGCAGGGTTTTCAAGGTGAGGGACAAACAGAGGTGGTCTGCCCTTGCCTGCCTCTGTGTAGCAACCCTGGACTTTGAACAGTCTTTTGGTGTAGGGTCGCTAAACTCCAAGTGGCACCCCGCGATCCCCCACTATTACAACTGCTCTCCAGATCACCATCAGTTCTCCTGGAGAAAACGGCTGCTTTGGAGGGTGGACTCTTATGGCATCATACCCTGCTAAGGTCCCTCCCCTCCCCAAACCTCACCCTCCCCAGGCTGCACTGTCAAAATTTTCGGGAATTTCTCAACCTGAGTTTTGTGAGAAGAAGGAAGGCCCAGCGCCGAAGAATAGATGCTTTCCAATTATAGTGCTGGAGAAGACTCTTGAGAGTCCCCTGGACTGCAAGGAGATCAAATCAGTCAATCCTAAAAGAAATCAACCCTGACTGTTCCCTGGAAGGCCAGAGGCTGAAGCTGAAGCTCAGATACTTTGGCCCCCAAATGAGAAGGGAGAAGGGAGGACTCACTGGAGAAGACCCTGGTGCTGGGAAAGACTGAAGACAACAGAGGAAGGGGACGGCAAAGGATGAGATGGTTAGACAGCATGATTGATGCAATGTACATGAAATTGAGCAAACTCCAGAGGACGGCGGAAGACAGGAGGGCCTGGCATGATGTGGTCCATGGGGTCGCAAAGAGTCGGACTTGACTGTGCGACTGAACAACAAAAAAAATGTTTTTTAAAAGTATGAACGGTTGCAAAACTGTGTTAAATGGTTCGGGGTGTCGACACTGTGATACTCCAAAGATCGAGGGCTCTTCTGCCTAAAACTCCCCTCCGGAAAGCATACAAGTTGTTATCCACTGGGAGGCTGACATTATACCACTTCTCCCGCGCGCGCGCAACCCCCCCCCCCAATCCTCTGCCTACAATCTCTTGTTTATCTCGTTTTCTATGCGGCTGCATCTGTCTCATTTCATCAATTCCAGAGGGGTGTCACAAGGCTTAATTAATTAAGATCCGCAACACATCTTTAAAAAGATGTGTGGATTAACAGAGCAAGGAAACGGCTAATAATGAGACGTATGATGAGGTAAATCTGCAAACTTCAAAAAACGTACCAGTGACACATTATTCAAAACGGCAGGGAAAAGGCAAAATAAAAACCTACAGAGTGAGCTAGTTAAGACCGAACTGCCTTTGCAGAGTTCTTCTTATTAGCATTACTTGACATGAGTCTTTTTTTAAAAAATGCCCATTTTCGTGACTTCGCTTCTATTATGCATGTCTTGGTCCATTACACAATGTGCTTTTGCCAAAATTCTTGGATTAAGGAAGATTTCATCCCCTTTGAAGCCTATTCTCACATCTTTATTTCAATATCTATCTTCCCCCTTCCCTGGGACTTGGGGGTGGGCAGCAGAATTTTAAAGTGTTCAAAGATTACTTTTAGAAATGCATTATGGATCACTCTTCCGCAGCATGCTAACTCACAGTCCTGGGCTGTGAATCTATCCACAACATGAATCAGTAACCCTGCTATCAGATGTGAAGGTTCGTTCTCCAGAGTCAAATCCATGTTCTGCTTTAGCTTAACACTGGGCGATTCTGCATCTAGCATTCGCTCCACATTTTCTCAACTGGGAGGAAAAAGTGCAGCTCAAAACCACATTCAGATACCCCAGGGCAACGCCATACTGACTGCAAAGTCACTTATGAAGGGCCATAAATCTATGCAGAAGGTACCATAAAAACCAACGACCAAAGAAAGTGAAAGCGCCATGCAGTGTGGAGGCTACCATAAAATCTGATTTTCAAAGGAAGTGAAAGCAGCACGCAATGCAGAGGGGAATTTCTGTTCCAAGGTGGGTTTGGTAAAACAATGGAGGGGAAAGCCAATGCAGAATCGGCCATTGTCCTCGAGCTGGCAAAATGGCTCTCCAGTGCCTCTGTCCTAGTTCTGCTATCTGGGTTTCATTTTTTATTTGCTATTTACTTATACCCCCACCTTTCTCCGCCATGGAGACCAAAAGCAGTTTGCGACATCGTTCTCCTCTCTTCCATTTTATCCTTATAACACCAGCCCTGTGAGGTAGGGTAGACTGAGAGAAAGTAGGGTGGGTCCTAGTTTCCTGAGTGTGTTCAGTGCCATCAAGTCACCCAGTGAACGAATGACCTCCAAAACATCCTATCGTTAACCTGACTTCCTTAATTGAGTCCATCCATCCCACGTTGGGTCTTTCTCTTTCCCGGCTGCCTTCAACTTTTCCCAGAATTACTCGCCTCTTCCAGAGTTTCCTGTCTCCTCATCATGTGACCAAAGTATAATAGTCAGTTTAGTTATTTTAGCTTCTGGGAGAGTTCAGGCTTGATTTGCTCTATATGACCCACTTATTCATCTTTTGGGTGGCCCACAGTTATCTGTAAAACTCTCCTCCAACGCCACATTTCAAATGCATCAACTTTCTTCCTGTCTGCTTTCCTCATTGTTCAAATTTGACACCCTCGCATAGTATGAGCAAAGTTTATCGATTTCTTTAATTAAAATAATTATACCCCACTGTTTCTTTCAGGAGGGGGAGGGGATTGGATTTATACCCCGCCCGTAACTACCTGAAGAAGTCTCAGGCTGCGGTCACACACACTAAATAATCCACTTTCAACCCTTTTTCAAGGTACTTTCCAACTGGATTTTACTGTGTGAACTGATAAAATCCAGTCGGAAAGTGCATTGAAAGTGGACTAAAAGTGGATTATTTAGTGTGTGTGACCGCAGTCTCAGAGTGGTTTACAGTATCCTTTCCCTTCCCCTCCCCACAACAGACACCCTGTGAGGTAGGTGGGGCTGAGAGAGCTCTTTTGAGGACTGCTCTTGAGAGAAGAGCTCTGAGAGAACTTGTGACTGACCCGAGGTCACCCAGCAGCTGCTTGTGGAGCAGTGGGGAATCAAACCCTGTCCTCCAGATTAGAGTCTGCCACTCTTAAGCACTACACCAAACTGGCTCTCTTTGAAGTTTGAAGCCTGCCTCCAGTCTAAGGAGAGTTATTTCAAATTCAGTGGCTCTTCCATAGACAGAAGAGCCATTTGCTTTGGAGGAAGACTACCCAGAGGATGCTTGGATCCACCGAGTGATTGGCTCAAGATCGCTCAGCGAGCTGCCGGGGCAGAGTGGAGATGGAGTCGCTGCTTCCCCTCTTCAGGCAAGCGTACATGAGCCCGACATACAACATCACGTTTCATAAATGAGAAGCATGTTCATCACTGCCCGTCAAGGAAACACATACGTTTGCAATGCTGGTTCTCATCCCTGTAGTATCCCAGGTGACAGGCCGAGACGCACATGCTGATGTGAGAAAGGACGAGGTGGGATTCACACGACGTGCAGGAGGAAGGATCTCCGCTGCTGCAGGACTGACATGAAGGGTGACACTCTGGAAGGGAAGGGAGAATGGGAACGGGCATCCGAGAACCACAAAACAAACCTCAAGAGGTTCTGCATGTGGAGCCACTGCTTAAGGGCCGGCTCTCCTAGCTGGGCACCCAAGTGAATGCTTGAGGCGACTCAGGGAGGGAAACGCTGAGGCACCGCAGGAGTCTGGCTTGCTACCAGCCATCAGCAAGTGGCCTGAATCCCCTGCTACAGGGATCTCCAACATGTTGCTCGTAGGCGCCATGGCATCCACACTTTTTCTGGCCAGGGGGGGTGGGTGTGGCCAGGTAGGGATTTTGCCCAGCACTGCTTCTGATTGACTATTTGACTAATTAGACTGGCTGCCTGTACAGATTTTTGTAAATGTTGCTTGGCAGCATCTGCCACGGCGCATGGATCTACACTGTGTTACTGAAGTTATGCTGTGGCAATCATTTCGGAGCTGGCTCCGCCTCCTGCGGCAGCCATTCTGTGGCGGCCATTTTGTTGCTGCAGCCACCATTCTGTGTCAGAATTCCAAATGGGCCTGCAGGCTCAAAAAAGGTTGGGGCCCCCTGCCTTACTAGATCCAAATGGTGGCGGCACAAGTCTAGCAATGAGTGGGTGTCCTTGCTTGGGGTGACCAAATACCCTGAACCAGCCCCAAGGTGTGCTTAGCATGTTGGACTGGAAGCAGTATGACCTAGTTTGGCCAGGAAAGTTATCGAGGGACATTACTGAGTGACAGGGGGGGTTTTGTAGAAAAAGCCCAGCAGGAACTCATTAGCATCATAGGCCACACCCAACAGCAGAAATTCATTAGTATATTAGGCCACACCCCTGGTGCAGCTCATTAGCATATTAGGCCACACACCCCATGCCTTCCCTTGGCTTGCCCAGGCAAGGCCCCCCCCCCCCTGAAGGGGAGGGAAGGCAGTTTAAACAAGGCCGGGGAAGACACGGGGAGGCATTTAAATGCCTCCCCAATCCTTCCAGGGCCCCCCCTGGCCCACCTGCATCGGAATCGCTGGGGGGGGGGGTCACTCTCCAGGCCTTCCCTCTGTAGCCACACATGCAAACCTTTTGGCTGTAGTGGGCATGGCCTACTCTGAAGCCAGCCGGAACTCCGTTCCTGTGCGTTCCTGCCCAAAAATAGCTCTGCTGAGTGACAATGGACCGCTCACTCTTTCTCTGCTTAAAATCACCCAGCAGGATTGTTGCAAAGATCACATGGGGGAACCAGTCCCCCCCCAATATCCACAAACAAAGGTATGCATTGACAGAATGATTATACACGAGATTAGCTGGCGTGCTTGCTCCTCTCTTATCACTACTCCCGATTTTTCAGCTGGTACTCACTTTTGCACGTTCCACCATCTTTATAGTGCCCCACGGGACAACCGGGCACACAGCGGTCCTTCAGGAGCAAGTGACGGCCATTTTGACACTTCAAGCAAACACTTCCTGTATCTTGGAGATCTGCCACACACTGCTGGCACAGAGGGTGACAATCTGAAGGGAATAAAAATCAGTGCACATAAGGGGAGAAAGGATTACCAAATGCTGGTCAGCTTCCCAAGGAGAAGAAGAAAAAGTCTCGGAGTGGCTGACAATCTCCTTTCCCTTCCCCTCCCCCAGAACAGACACCCTGTGAGGTAGGCGGGGCTGAGGGAGCTCGCTTGAGAACTGCCCATGAGAGAACAGTTCTGAAAGAACTTGTAACTGACCCAAGGTCACACCAGCAGCTGCTTAAATTAAAAGAGTATGATAATCATGACCTTTAGAAGTCTTGGCACACAAGGACACTCATTTCTAGATGCTCAGAGGAAGGAGGAAATAAAAATCCTATAGGCAGGTTTTATGGATTGTTCTCCGATTTATTGCTATTATTATTACTGAGTTTTATTATTTTAATTATAATTTAACTATAATTATGATTTAAACTGTATAATAATAAATAATAATTAGCATTTTAATTATAATTAAATTTTAATTAATTTTAATTAAACCCATGGCAGGATAACAATTGCTTAAATAAATAAATAACATCGCAATCCTAAGAAGGATTTCCTGGGAATAAGCTCCGTTGAATAGACCTGAGTAGGATTCTGAACAGATCTATCATATTGTATTCTCTAAGGCAGGGGTGGCCAAACTTGCTCAGCGTAAGAGCCACATAGATTAAATGTCAGATGTTTGAGAGCCACAAGATGTGAATAAATATTATATGCACGTTTTTATTTTAAAATATGCAAATTTGCTTTCTTATTAACATTAAACGAGACTGCCAAAAATAAAAACAGATACAGATAATGTTTTTTGTTTGCTAATGATATTTATTTGTCTAAGAGAGAGAGAAAAAGAGAGAGGTGGAAAGAAAGAATGAAAGAGGTGGAAAGAGAGAGAGAGAAACAAGGAAAGCAAATAGACAGGAAGGAGGGAAGAAAAGGATGCCTCCCCTTCGCTTCCCCAGCCGCCCTGCTGGGAGCCGCACAATATGTGTAAAAGAGCCACATGTGGCTCCCGAGCCACAGTTTGGCCACCCCTGGTCTACTCAGACTGGCAGCGGTTCTCCAGAGTCTCAGGCAGAG